TGAATTGGCCGGCTTAGTTGCTGTGTATATATTTTGGTAATGTATCCGCAACCAAAGCGGACACTTTAGCCGATATGAATTGGCCGGCTTTAGTTGCAGATCACATAAGTTTTTCCTAAAAAGAGAAAACAAAATTAATTAAATGGAAAAAAAGGAGAAATGGAACAATACTCACCATACCTGTACGCCCCTAATCATAGCTCTTTGTTTCCTACAATGAAATAAAAAAATAAGAAAAATTAAAATTAATTATTAAAATTGTAAAGAAAAATACATACTTACCTCATGCTGCTGCTATTTGTTATGCGTAGTCTCTTGAGTAGTGACAGCTGTTGATAGTAAGCGGGGTTGCCAGACTAAAGATATTCATATGTACTGAGAGAAAATAAAGTAAACATTGTTTTTATGAATGAAATTAGACGACTGTTATAAATGGTTTGAAAGAACAAAAACAATTAAGCATTGTATATTCCATGCAAAACTTTTGAAACATGTTGTGCATGGGGAAATATAAGTAGGGTAAGAAGGAAGTTTTTTACAGAAAAGGGTAGGATATATATATATATATAATAAAATTATTGAAAATATTAATAGAAAAGGACAAGATTAGTGCTATTTTTTTTGGAAAAATTTTGGAATGTATATGTGTGAACTTTAATCTAATATAGGGCAAAGACGCCAATAGCCATATTTGAAAAATCAGAGACAGAAAAGATGTCGACCTAAACACTTGTGCAAAAAAAAAAAAAAAGAAAAGTTTTTGAATTTAATAATATTTGTGTGGAGAGCAATTCATCATAAATTTAAATATACCATAACCTCTTGTCAACAATATTTGTTTAAATAACTTTTATATGAGGAAAAGTTCTGGTAAGAATAAAGAAGAACTTAATTAGTAATAACAATCAGTTCTAATGAACGTTAATTAATATTTAGGAAAGTTGAGAGGAATAATTTTTATAGAAGTTCCCTGTCTTTTAAAGAACGAAACCGTAGGCGCATACCACTGGCTGGAGCAGGGCCAGCCAAAGTGGTTTTTAATGAAGATTGGTGCTATTGAATCATACATACTGATCCTCCCAAAGAAAAGGGCTAAAAACAACGTCTGGAATCAAGTAAAGCTATATAATAGTTCATATAATCCAGGTAAAATAATAAAATACAAACATCTTGATTGAGCCCAAATAAGGAATGAAGAAAAGTGTAGCCAAGTGGGTCGAAGTGATATAAAAGAAAAATTTAAAAAAAAGGGCACAAAAATAGTAATATTAATATATCCCTATATAACTAAAAACAAAAATAATAATATAATATTCTAGTGTCTTCGTATTTACGTATTTTTAAATATTAACGTTAGTTTTTAAGTAAAATCTATTGAGTGTAATCCCAAATATTTGTTTGTAAGTCTTTTTATATATGTATGTCAATTTTGAAAACCTAGAAACAAATAGGATATTTTTTTTTAAAGGGAGAGTTCAGTTGGGAAAGTAAACAGGATATACAATAGTATCTGTAAGTAGCTTTCAGTATACTGAGATAAATTAATGATCTCAGAAAATCCAGTTGAGTGAGCTCATTCAGGTGTAGAAGAAAATAATTGATTTGTGACGGTGTAAGTTGTGTACCGGACATTACTATTGTGAATCAGGTTATATTTTCCTTCCCCTTTTGATAAGAGTAAATAGTAGATACTCTTTGTTTCTGTGTTTTCCCCTACATATGTGAAAGAGAAACATTAGAATTATAATTTTTATGTTTGTAACGATAATTTAAGTTTTATTTTGATTTATTAATATATCATTAAGAAAAGAAGAAAAAAAAAAAGGAGAATATTAAAAATAGAATATAGACCGAGAAATTTAAAATTAGATTGTTGTTTGAAGTCCAACGCCTGTAAAACAGGATTCGATTTAATTTGGTCATTTCGACCTGCAAATAAAAATAAAAGAAAAGGGAATTTTAAATAAAGATAAAAAGAACAATCAATTGTTAGATTTAAGTTTAGAAATAAGGAATAAGCATTTAAGGAGAAATAATAAATAATGTGAGACTAGATTAAGAGAAAGATGAAGGCCTAAGTATTTTTGTATGGGTTGCTGATATGAGGTAAGGAAAAGAAAATGTATGACATATGGGGGTCGTCTGAAAATATGATGGCATAGAGAGACGATCATGGTTGGGAAGGGCGGTTGGAGACTTACACCTGTCTCCCTATTCTGCTGCATGTGAGTGTAAAGTAAATTGTTATTGTTTCCATCAAAATTTCTTTTATTTGTTTACGGTTCGGGACGAGAGTGAGGGAGGGAACACACCCTAGAAGATACCGAGTGCGAGCTAGTCGGCGGATCACTCTACGTCCGAACAAAACGTTCCGTAACAACTGATCCAACAAAAAGTTGCATACATAAAGTGATGGAAAAATTATCAGTTTTCTTAACCTTATAGAGAAAATGTTAAAGATAAATTAACTTAATTAATTCCTGAAAATCACAAAATAAGATTTAAAATATTATAAAAAGCACTAAATGCACTGTCATAATATTAGAAAAGCACCACTATAGTGCCTTTTAGAAAAAAGGCACCATGAGAAATAGGATAGGAGATATCGTTTCAAAATTTAACATAGTTAGAGCTGAGGTGTTTGCGTATCTACTTACAATCTGTAGACTCCGTAGGTCCAATGGAGTCCAGTGGTAAGGCCCTTAAAATTGGTCACCTCGACTCAATTTTTTTAAAATCAATAAAAATGCATTTATGATCCGAATTAAAAAAAAAAAACATTTTAATGAAAAAATACAAAACAAAACTTTTGAAAGGGTCCTTAGTTTCCTAATTGAAAATCCTGATCTCAGTACAATTTGCCAAAAAATAAGTTTTTAAATTTTGTCGAAATTCATCTCAAATATTCCCTAAATTGTAAAATTTGTAAGAATATTTTTGGTCCACAAAAAGACTTTTATTTAGCGCATTACAAAGCACACAAAGATTTTGAATTTTTTCGAAATATGTAAAAATTATCGTAATTTTAAGAAAAGTTTACAAAAATATTTAGCTTTTTACTTAATGACTTTTTTAATTTATGTAGGAATTCTGAAGCACTAAAAGTAATTCTGTGGAATAAAAGTACTTCAAACAATTTTATGATTATTTTTTCTAAAAAATGTAGGAAACTTTTTTTATAATTTGTACTGAGATCAATATTTTCAATAGGTGGGAAAATTATTTTTTATTTTTTTTCGAGTTCACTACGACAATACACATCATTAGAGACTTGTGCCAACTTAAAAAAAACTGTTTCTCGTTACACTTTTCTTTAGATCAGATATTAGGCTTAGACTTTTTTTGAGATTTTTTGAGAGACATTTTTCAAAATTAAAAAAAAATGTTCTTTTAAATGTTGTATTTAAATTTTTTTTATCAAATAAATGATGATAAGGAATATCTATATATTTTCTTTTCATTTATTATTGATTTTATGTCGATTAAAAAATATAACTCTGGAGACCACCTAAGAATATTTATGTAAAATTTAATTTCAATATCCTCAATAGTTCACTAGAATTATTTTCAGAAAATGTTGAATTACTATCAGAAAATATCACAGAAAAAACAGATTTTAAAAAAAATTCAGTTAAACGATTAATCGAAAATTTTAAAATGGTTCAATTCATTTTGTGTTTGAATCATAAAAATGTATAATCAAATACGTATTTAACAACAACAAAATTAGAAACAAATAAAAATTTTGTGTGAAATCAATCAAAAATGAAACTTCAATAAATAAAATAATTGAAAACGAGGTTTTGGTAATTGAAATCGTTTTTCAATTTAAATAAATATTAAATAAAAAAACTGAAAACTGAACTAGAACTAACTAGAACTGAACTAGAATATTAAATAAAAATATAAATAAAAATATATATATATAAATATAAAAATATTCACTAATTTATTATTCATTTATTACATATTTTTCTTTTGTTTTGAAATAATCTTATTTAATATAAATAAACATACTGCATCAATATAGATTCTTTGTATTACTATAAGTAACAACAAATAGTCAAAAATATTTGTAGTACAACAGTTATTTGAGAGCAAGAAACAAATACAATACAGTATGTAGTGGTGTGGTGGTCAGCTGTTTGTTTAAAATAAGACAAACAGAAAACAAAATAAACAGAAAGGGACAGAATGGCCAGATTGCTAGCGGCGCTGGTATGCCCGCGTATTGCGCGGCTAAAGCTCGCCGGATGGGGTGGTTCTTGCCGGCAATCTGGACCATAAACACACACTAACACAAAAATTCATACCAGCATTTGGGGTATTATTTGAAAAAGGGGCCAAAAGTAGTCCTGCATCTCCCTGCGGTCATACCTATACACATTATTGTCCTCCCACTAGAGGATTCAACCTCACCATGACGTCCTCTTCCTTGACGTCCCCCAAATCTTCCCTGCGAACATTCACTTCCCCTACTTACCGCCGCTTTTCAAACAAATTACCAAATCATATTAATGACACAACTTTTCAAAATTTCTTTAAAACGTTATAAACATAATTTTTTTTATTAATTATTAGAATTTTTCTTAGCTTACGGCAAAATTTAAATTTTACAAAAATTTTTTTATGGACAATATCCAACAAAATGAGTTTAAGGGAGACATTTATTATTACAAAAAAATTTTTATATACAAATTATCGGTTTAACACATTTAGCTTTTAGATTAACAAATTTTCTTTAGTTTCCCATTTTAAGTTTTTGTAGATTCTAAGCTTTAGATTTAAGTAGATTTAGGCTTTAGTAGTATGATTTCACAATATAATCTCTTAGTTTTAAAGCAGTATATTTTAAATTTTAGGTTTTAAGTTTTAAATAGATTTAAGAATTTTGCTTTTGACAAATTGTTTTCAGCTTTTAGTTTTATCAAATTTTTAAATTTTAAGTATTTTTAGATTTCAGCTTTTAAGTATTTTTATCTTTTAGCTTTTAAGTATCTTTAGATTTTAGCTTTTAAGTATCTTTATATTTTAGCTTTTAAGTATTTTTTTCTTTACTTTCTCCTCTTTCTTCTACAGGTCCTACGGCTATGGAGTTGGCAGGTGTTGCAGTGGGGTTTCCGTCGTCCGTATTCTGTCCAGGTCCGGGTAATTCAGGTCAGTTTGCAAAAATTTTAAATATCTTTTAAATAATTATTTATATATATATTTATTTTTTTTTTTTTACATATATATACGTATAAAAATACTGAGCTACTGGGTGCAAATCTGCCGCAAATTCTTCTAAAAAACTAGGCCTGAGCTCAACCCTAACGTCGCGCACGCTTGGCGGTAATTTTTGGCCAGCGGTCTGGTCCGATTCTAACCAATGGTAAGCTTGTTATTTTATATATATATAAATTTTTTTATTTATTATTTTCCCTTTTTTTTTATTAATTATTTAAAAGGTACTGTCAGTCCGTCTTGTCGTTCAGGGTCAAAAAAATCTTTATGGTCGAAACCTTTGGTATACCTGCGCACCCCAGGATTGGCAGTGCGGAGCCGATGTTCCCAAATGAAAGATCCCACGTTGGAAGTCGGCAGAGGTGGCGTTGAAATATTTGTATAACCTTTTTTTTTTTCGGTGTTCAATTTATATAATTTATATTATATTGTTTGATTTAAATAAAGACTTTAAAAATGCTTAGGCGACTTTTATTGTGCGCACTTGCCACTTGCTGCTTCGTTGAATCTCAAAGAAAAAAAAGGCCGACATTTTGCACATTAGGGTCCGAGAAACCTCGGATCCCATAATGGCTTCCTACTGTTTCAATTCCTTTCAGCTATTCAATCTACTGTTTCAAATAATTTTCCTAGTGTTTGTTTTTGTTTACTTTCATTTTTTTTTTTCTCAAAAATGTCAAACGACGCGTTGCCAACTTTATTTTTCCCTTCTTCTTATTTCTACAACCATTCACACATTTACCTACAGGGTGCACACGACAAACCCCACCATTTCTGTCATCCATTTATGGAGACAAAATGGGAGGGAAAAATACGCGCCCTGATTTTTATGAATTACCCTAATAAAATAAAAATTTAAAATTTTGGGCATTTTTTTATCCCCATATAAAAAAATGCAGTCTGGCAACCCTTATTCGTTCGAGAACGAAAGTACAACTCTGTGCCGCCGTTAAAAATTGGACGGTCGGCGACGAACTCTGAACAGCTGCTTGAATGAATGGAACGGGAGGAGGCAACATAGGAAAAATACGCATGTGTAAATGCGTACCATAGACTACTCATAGACTGGAATCAGCTGATTTTAGCAATATGGCGGAGGCAAACAAAAAAAATTTTACGAAAAATCAACAAAAGAAAATGTAAAATGAACCATGGAAGATTTAAAAGAGGGACAAATATATAAAGATATATTTCCATCTCTCTTCACCTTACACTTAATTTTTTTCAAATATAAAAAACAAATTGCATTACAGTTAAACCCATTTATCTTTTTCTTGCTCTTTACGAACTCATCTTAATTACCGGAATTTTGATAACTATTTTGATACAAAAACATATTTTATAAATAATTCTTGGTTAAAACGAATTACTATTTAGTCCCATGAATAATATTTTATACATTTATCCTTTTTTATATCGAACTTCAAAAAATATGCGTTGAAATCAAATAAACGGGTTTTACTGTACATGCAAGTCAAAAAAATTGTTTGTGGTGTTGATAGTGTATTGAAAGGTGTTTTATAATGAAAGAACATTAAGGAATAATTAAAAAACAAATCCAGTACACTTTTAATTAGAATCTAAGCAAATATTTAATAAAATAATTGTTTTCTTTTTAATCTTATTTTTTTTGCAATTCTTCTTCACATACAATTTCTTCAATGTTTACATTTTTTGCTATTTTTTTTTCAAACGAGCGATGAAAACAATCATACAGCTCATCTCACACACTCATCGATTTTTTAATACATTTTATTTTTTCTTTTGCTCTAAAATTTTACCTAATGGCGGAACTCAAAAATGGTAAAAAAAATGTAAACAAAACCATACGGTTCGAATTTACTTTTTTGACAGCTGTCAATGGTTTCTTATCTGGTTATCTGTGATGCGTACGATCATTTTTCAATGGCGGTGAACAAGAATGGTAAGTATTTGTTAATGAGTTTTTATTTTTCGAAAATATTTATTTCTAATTGGAAATTTTAATATGAAAATGTAGCAAAATACTAATAAAATTTTTCTTATATTTTCTTTTCAGGAATAGACGAAGGATGCTGCGGATTCTGGTGGAATTTTGGTAAGTAAAAAAAAATTATTAAAAATATTCAAGGTCAACAAATTTATTAATGCATTTTTTTTTTTGTTTACTCTTTTCAGGAATGTGACTACAGTTATTTATCGTGTGTGTGCAGACGTAATTTCTGGATTTGGACAAAAACAAAAAGGTAAGTAATATGAATTTAAAGTGAATTTAATTAAATAAAAGTGTGGTGGTAAAATAAAAATAAAAGTGCAGTTAGGAATTTGTGGACAAAAAAAAATTTTAATACAGTGATGGTAAAAAGTGCGCGGACGGACAAAAAAAAAATGAAAACGAAAAATTAAAATTTCTTTCAAAATAAAAAGTGAAAAATTTATTGCCGGTATGCAATAACAATTAAAAAAATTATTTTCCAGAAATTACAGTGCGGGACAAAAGTGAATCAAAGAAAATTAAAATAAAAAAAATTAAATGAAAATTTTAAATAAAAAAATCGGATTTGTGTCGGCAAACAAATAAAATTAAAACGGAATCTACAGTGTGTAACAAAAGTGTACGCCAAAAAAAAATTACAACTAAAAAAATTGAAAAAAATTAAATGAAAATTTACAATAAAAAATTGTGTCGATACAAAAAAAATAAAAATGAAATTTACAGTGAGTGACAAAAGTGTAATAAAAAAAATAAATTGAAAAGAGAACAAAAAAAAATTAAAAGTGATACGGAAACTAAAGTGATAAAGAAAATTAAACCGGTAAAAAAAAAAATTAATTACAGTGGATAACAAAAGTGAAATGAAAATAAAATCATAAAAAATTAAAATTAATTTGAAAGTGGTTGTGAAAATAATGGGTGATGAATCAAAAATAAAAAAAAAATTTTAATACAGTGACAATCAAAAGTGGTATACAAAAAATTTTATATAAACTAAATTGAAAATCGACGCGAAATTAAATAAATTTTTTCGAATATTTTTTTTTGTGGAAAATACAGTGGCGGAGAAAAGTGGCAGTGATAAAAAGAAAATCTAAAATAAATTAAATCCTAATCTGTGGTGAAGTGTTAAAACCGAAAAACTGAGAATAAAAATTACAGTGGTGTGCAAAAGTGGTGTGACAGTGAAAATTAAAAATAAAAAAATTTAGAAAATTAAAAATTAGAAAAATTAGTGAAAATTAACAAAAAAAAATAAAATAAAACGGAGTGGTAAATTAAAAAGGTCGTGAAAACAAAATAATGAAATCGGTAAACAAAACAATTAAAATGAAAACTATGGCAAAAAAAAAGAAAGGTGTTCACTAAAAGTGTGCTGTGAACGAAACGAACTTAAATTCAAACTAAATAATAAAAAAAAATTCTACTAATTCAAAATTCAAATTTTTTTTTGTGATTTTTTTTGTGTTTTTGTATTTTTGTATTTTTTTTTTTTTTTAATTTTTGTTTTTATATATTTTTTTTTTGTGATTTTTTTTTTGTTTTGGAATTTTTATATAATTTTATTAGAACTTCTTTCTAACATTTTTCACTTTCTTTTCAGATTATCCATTCATTGGAGTAAGAAGACTAGACGACCTGGACTTCAAATAAGACTCAGGTAAGTCTTTTGTTAAAGGTGGGAAATGCAAGGACTAGATTCACCAAAGATTTCAGGATAAATCCTTTGATCCTTGGCGAGAAATACCCCTTGACATTTCCACATGAAAATATAAAAACAAAATTAATTTCTTAGAATAAGTGTTGTTGAGATTAGAAAATATCCTAAAATTAAAGATTTCCTCTAGCAAATTCATTATATTATTTCTTTAGGAATTTTCATTCTCAACAAATAATTGAAAATAACTAATATCTTGTTTTCTACAGGTTCCTTGGGGAATTCAAGTGCCCTCGTGAAGGACGAACCCTATGAAGCCAATTTAATTCAGGGGAATTGGCAAGTATATACTAAAATATATTAAATTTATATTTAAACTATGGGAATCCCTACTAAAGTCTTCCGAACTTTATTTCAGGTTACAACAACAACAGAAACAACTACTAAACAACAATTAAAGCAACTAATACAACAGAAGCAGATATTTGCAGAAAGGCGTAGAAATATCAGAGTGAGTGTAAAACCAAAAATTTAATAAAGTAGTATAAGTTGAATAGTCTTAAGTCGGACTGGATAGGAACCATATCTTTTTATAATTAAAGCAGAATTCGGTAGTAATAACAAGATAAAGTTTAGAAAAACTATGAAGCAAGGTCCTAAACTACTTGTTATTACTACTGACTTCAAATGAATTGTGTTTAGTATAGTTACTGATTATATCCTGGACAAAACCGATGATTCTGTACTATTGATCATTTATATCCCAGCCAGTGACAATCTGCTTACGGAATGAACAAATACCTGTTGGTCTGCCAATATGTATTGTCCCAATTGTTTCCTTTGGTATCGGCTCGCTGTAAGATCGGACTCAGAATTGTGTCATTGCCCTAGGTGACTAATAACCCTTACGCTTTTAATGGCACGGTACCGGAAGGCTTTGATGGGGTTGCACCTTCTAATAGGGTAATGACCGGTTACACATGTAACCAGCTAAGAAACGTTGGCTTTAAGTCGAACCAAACAAATAATTATTCATTCCAAAGAAGCTATGGATCCCACTGGACTACGATATAAATGAACGATATGTACAGATCTCAATACTGCTCAGGATACAACAACAACTATACCAAACAGAAATTCACTGCGAGAGATAGATTTTCAATTAATAACAAAACTCAAAAGACTTTATCCAATTATAGTTACCTATCGATTACAAATTAGATAAGGCTGACTACTAGACACGACAGGCGAAAGATAAGCAGGAGAACATGTTGGGACTAGAACCACCAAAGATTCTAAAGCTATTGCTTTAAATCTTTGGCGTGAAAAACCCCCAACGATCTTCCCTGCATATCCTCGACCTCGTACAGACTGTTTCCGACTGGTCGTACAATTCGGCATTTTAGAAATTTTCGAGCGAATTTGGCATTAAAATTGTTTTTGAAATCACTCTGCTGGAAGTTACGTCGGTAGACTTCCTGACCGGGAATGAACTTAATTGGACGACACCGCGTGTTATACGATTTTTCGTTGCGAGCGTAAGCTTTGTGTAAATTCTCGCGAATTTTCTGACGGATCAGATCCAATCTAGCAGCATTCGGAATGACGTTAATTTCTGGATCATTTAAGATTTTCAGTTTTCGTGCCAACTGGTAAACGCTACCATGGCCAATCATATTCATTCCGAACAAGGCGAAGTAAGGCGTAACTCCGATGGACGACTGCACGGAAGACCTTAAGGAAAATTCAATTTCGGACAAATGCTTGTCCCATTCTGTGTGGTCTTCCTGCAGATACGACCTTACAGCTGCCAGAATGGACTGATTA